ATGTGGGTTCCACAAGAACTTAGTGAAAAGCAGAAACAACAACGTTAGAACCTTTCATGATGCTGCTTCCTCGTCACAAAAATGATTTATTTTCGAATCGAATTGCAGGGTATGGCGAGAACTGGACCTAGTGCGATAACCGTAAACGTTCAGCACGGTGTTTGAGCAAGGACAAACCGCCAAAACACAGCCCAAAGCGCAACATTCATCAGAAGAAGCTGATGATGAGTGTTTGGTGGTCTGACGCAGGTGGAATCCATTATGAGTCCATGAAACCTGGCTCATCGATCACGGCAATAATATGCTGCAATCGGTGGAATCAAATGATCCGAAAACTTGTAGAAAAGCAGCTTAGTTTGGTCAACAGGTCAACTCCTACTCTACTGCACAACAACGCTGGACAACACACCGTACGAATGGCAGAGACGAAACTACAGGAGTTAGAGTTGTATTTTTTCCATCATCCAACATACTCACCAGATCTTGCCCCAAACGACTACCTCTTCTTCCGGAATTCGGATGACTTTTTCATAGAAAAACATTTTAATTCCGATAATGCTGCCTCTGAGATGGCAAAAGTGTTTTGACAATACGGGTGCATACTTTGATGAATAAAACTATTGCTTATATGTATACAGCCTTAACAAACTGTTTTTTCTACAAATTGCATACTTGACGACCCAATATCATGTCACTCTCCCATCCTGTGGCCACTTTATATGAATACATGTTCAGTTTCAATTTTAACCGGACACCATTTCCTTAAGAAGAATTCACGTGTAAACGTGGACTTCGGACAACTAGGGATAATAAATGTATCCCGCTGAAATACGACTCGATGGTGGTTTGTTAAGATAGTGGACGTCGGGAGAAGGGTATGGTAAACTACAAACGCACGCGGTTAATTTTTGTACCGTAAAACAAGAGAATACCAGAAGTCAGAAGACATGACAAATTGAAACTTGTCGATGTGCAAACTAGGTAAATTCCAGTCAGCAATCTGATATTAGGAGCTAGGCCCAAATATCTGGACAAGTACACGCGCACATGCGAGTGTCCTGTGCGATGCGGGTATGTGGGCCCCTACGGTGCTCCGCGCGAGTGACGCGCTGGACCAACACGGGAGCCAGATAGGGGCCCGACTCGCGTTAATCGGATTGCGCGCTCATAACAAATGCCACATTGGGGAGTGTGGTCGCACGCCTAGGAGGCAGCCCACGCCTCACCGGTCACTTGCACCCCATCCGCTTATCAGATGAACGACCAGTTTGGGCAGTGGGCTGATGCCAGCCTTACATCGACCCGCATTATTCATATTTTGAATCAGTTCTACATAGAGGAAACTGTCCGTTACCCCCGATAACCTGAATTCATATATATACGACAGTCCAACCATCGTTTCCGATTATGTCCACCGTGCGCTCCATAGCAAGGTGACAGCAGGCACGGTGACTTGCGCATGAATTAGTTTATGGTGGGAGTAGACTTGTGCAGCATCTACCGCACTCTCTCCCTCCCCCTGTGGGCCCAGTTTCAAGACAGTCGAGAACACCGGAGGCGGGAGAGTGTGCAGGTGGCTGGCACGGTCGAACCCGCACCTGGACGTTTCACCAAACCCCTGGTTCGCGTACAAGGGCCAAAGATGTCATACAAAGACAAGGGGGCAGCTCAGATCCCAACTGAGTGGGAGAGCTGTAAAGGGCCACATTAGGAAGGAGACATTGCAGTTTGACTCTAAATCCTAAGAGAAAGATCGAATTATCCTGTCAACTGGTAGCCTTCCAAGCAACGGCTTTTAGAACACCGTGATAAATTCAAACACGTCAAGCTGTTAAAACGGGTCGACCTCGCTTACACTTATAGCTCTAAAACGCTAGATAACGGTTCATGCCGGTCGAAAACCTGATGCTGTGATCTAGCGCAGTGGCTGGCAGAGCCAGAAGACCCGAATGCGCGTGCCTAACAAACGACCTAGCCCAAAACTACACATCATGACTTCACGAGAAGGGGGTGAGGAAACGCTCGGGTATAACATGTGTTAGCGTGCAATGGGGGCCAAAAAAAGATGGAGAAAAAGACCAGGATACCCATTCGCGTGGGAAGTGCCGACATCATGCATTTGGTGAGTGATGATTGGATAGTACGTGCGTTGTGTCTACAGTGGTAAGGAGATGTGCGGTGACATGGTTCGACCGACGGGTTTAACGAATTGATTCACGTATGCACATGTTGCCGAGAGGACCAACGCTGCGACTGCATGTCCGTTGGCAGTGTGGGCAGTCGAGGCGGATGCGGTTGATGCATTTTGGTGTTCCAGGCACCGGCGCGCTGGTCTCGGTGCAATGGATTCGCAAATGACCGGTGAAGGGACG